GGAAAGTTGCGGTGTTTGGGTCTCGAATGAGGAGGCGTTTATTCTAAGACGTCGGCATTCTTCCACTCTTGGTTTGCCAGCAGCATTCTCTTACCGGCACTCAATGTGGGTGCAGGAGACGTTTAACAAAACCCCACAAAACTTATCTCCATTGTATAGTAATAGGTTTTACCATTTCAACTGGTACAAAAACTGACACCTTTATACAAGGCATCATGTTTGCAATAACCACAACACAAGCAGTCAAAATGCAAACCAATCAACTTCAAGGACAGTGCATATCATTATCATCATCAGAGTTGTTTCTTTTTGTTTGCATTTTGACTGCTTGTGTTGTGGTTATTGCAAACATGATGCCTTGTATAAAGGTGTCAGTTTTTGTACCAGTTGAAAGGGTAAAACCTATTTCTATATTTTTCCACTGGTAAAGGAGGTCTCATAGTGTAAATTATCTCCATTGCTTTAAAAGTTAAACGGGTCAAGGTGCAGCCCTGCAATTACTCGCTCACACTCCTGCCGGCAGAAGGGCCTCCACCAGAGGGAGCTCTAGAGGAGCCTCCTCTCAACTCGGGGCCGACGACTCTTCCAAGCTGGGCTTGGAAGAGGCGGGAGCGAGCAAACACCTTAGCTACTAAAATGTCGCTTCTTCTTGATAACACTGGTCAACACACTTTTTCTGGCATAAGGTATTCCAACGGTTTTAATGTAATTTTGGGGTGCTGATTCCAAATCTGGCATCAGTTTTTGTCTATCACATCAGGTTTTTGAGATATTAAATATTGCATTTTCAATAAAAACTGCAGAAGAAAAATATTAAATAAATGTGGATATCTACATAAAATGATATTATAAACACACTATCCTAAAAATACAGCACCATATTTTAACACTAAAGCAGTCACTGACTCGCAACAACTTGCAATCGTAAGTGACAGAGTTAATTTCGGGTAAAATCAATGAAAATGGGGCATGCCGATAGCATAAAAATGAGATGTGATAGAGCAAATCTGAGATCAGATTTGGAATCAGCACCCTGAAATTAGTCTAAAACAGCTGCAAAAGTCCAGGCCAGAATTTTTTTTTTTTGGTTGACCAATGTAATGTGACTGCGAGGTGGTCAAGTGGCAGCAGTGCTGGGTTTTCTCCGGCGTCTCCAATTTGGCTTCCCACACGAAAGCCAAAACTATCACTGCTAATGGAATTCATTCACGGGGCCACACATCCCAAACTGTGGCAGGACCGTCCTAAGAAGTCTTTAGACTCGGTGAGACTTGCCTGGATAAATAACTGACGTTTCTTTTTCTTCTTCCTAAAAGCATTAATGTGTGTAAAACCCTGAAGGTATCTACTATTGGAGTGGAGTAGTGATTCGGCATTGCTATGGAGGCGCAGACCCGCTCTGTCAAAACACAACGCAGAATGTATTTCAATTGCCCGATGGGGATTTTTGTTTGGCCGGGCCCGGCTGACGAATCACTAATTTGCGCGAGCCGCTATCGGTCGAACTGAAAAGAAAGAAAAAACCCCAAACACAGCACAGCACCGTCACCAAAATGAATTACAGGTATAGAAAAATAATGATCGTACAAAAAAATACAGCACTTATTTTACACCAAAAAATGAAAACACCTTCGAACAGCTCCGTTCGTCCGAGTGAAGCAGCTGTGCTTTTTACAATCGTGCGCGCTTGCCGTGCACGATTTGATTTCTGTACAATTCACATTCATCGGCCACCACCACCGTCACCGCGGCTTCTGTCGGAGGGACCAAAGGGACCTCCATGCCCGTGCCGGTTCAAATCAGAACCCCCACCGATATCTGTCGGGAAAGAAAATACCCCAAATTTGCAGAATATGCCGGCAAAATGTTTTCGTCTTTCCGCTAAAATTCCAGCGAAAGGTCTTTTTCCACCAACCCTTCGCGACATCCTGGGTTTACTTTCAGCTGGGTCTCTGTGGTCTGGCCACCCGAAAAATATTTCTGCATCTTTCACACCACATTCAGTTTACCTCTCACTATGGCTTTGGCAGCTGTGTGCCACCCACTCCAGTCGACCAACGACTCGGAAAATATTGATTTAGAAGTTCAGCCCCGAGCCAATGAAGCCCTGGGCCGATCGATATGGTTAGAGGCAACCCATAGAATCGGCCCCACACAAGACAGCCACCCAGCGTAGGCTACACCCACAACGACACTCACACGTGTCCCCCACGCCAACAGGACACGGTGGCTCAGTGGCCTCACATAGCAAGGGGCTTAATTCCAGCAGGGTCTGGATGCGGCACGGGTTTCCACGGTGGCTAGGAGATGTTAACTATCTCGCCTGATATACAGAAGGTACGTGGGTTCGATCCCGATCCTAACGCCTGCTGTGTATTTGGAGTTTGCGGTGTCTCTCTCGCCGTGGTCACAAGGAATTTTCTCCGGGTCCTCCAGTTTTTCCCTCCAAATTTAGCAATATGCGAGTATTTGGCTGCTACAAATCTCCACATGGCAAGCCACTTTGACGAGCGATCATTTGTGGCCAGGTCACTTCGTAAAAACAGCTACTAGCTCAGTGGGCCTTACCTACTAAATAAAAAAAAGTTGCAATCGTTTTAGTAGTCGAGCATACCTCTATGTCAACTAGACAATGATTACCTTAATTCGATGTAATGTTTTCTTGTTAAGTGCAGAACCAAATGTACTCCGGCTAGTTTTCTTTTCTTTTTCGCATGGTCGTTGGTGACCGGGGCTGAGAACATCAACTCACTTCACTTCGGGACCCGGTTTAATCACGGGCAGTGGCCGACACCCAGATTCGAACTCAGGAACCAGACGGGGCCGGCTCAATGGCCTCTGACCTCTGAACTGCCAGGCCACCACTACCCATTACATTTTTAAATCCTTTATATTAAGTTCACTTGCTTGCTTGCTTGCGTGCTTGCTTGCTTGCTTACGACCGTGCAAATCTTTCGGTCGTTTTTTAACCCACTTCCCGTGATCCAATCGAGCTAACATTTTGCACACAGACTCGTTGTGCGTGACAATTAATTTTCTTGAAAAATGTTTTCCAAAATTTGACACTGTTTAGTGCAATTTTTAAAAAATATTTAATTACCAATTGCTTAATGGTGGCAGACAATCATCTGACCCATAGGTGGCAGCCATCTCAAGCCAGAGGACGAGAGGACTCTAGCCGCCCCGATGCCACGCATATAAAGGATTTATAGTTAAAAACTTTGTTTTTACGGGTTAATTTTTTATTTATTAACTTCATAATTTTGGCCAGGAGCCCGCCGCCCTCCTCCCACTCGCCCCCCTCGATCCTGTTTCCAGGCAAGCCTTTCATAGTCTTCCAGCGACCCGGAAAATATTCCGTCAGAAATTAAGCCCCAGGATTAGCACCCAAACTCATGCACAGTGGACCCAATGCGGCCCGTTCGACACCGGCGGTTTGGGGGGCGCCCTACCAACGGGATGAATAATTGACTTGCTTAGCAATATAAATATCTGTGTCGTATAATAGGATGCTTTCGTTGCATTCATATTCATTTATATCTATAAGGGTAGCTCATAAGTAACTGCATGGTAAGTCCCATGCAACTTGCACACACACACACACACACGTATACCGTATATATGAATGAATATAATCTCTCTTGTTAAGCGCCTGCTTGTAATTGCCCAGCTGTAGAACGTCACGATATATAATGTGCAACTCGGCATAAACACGTCGTTTTTAAATTATTACGTAACCCCGTGACACCGAACCCTGCTTATTATAACGATCCCATCCCCCCCCACCTCATTCATAACGAATATAACTGCATGAGCACCGTCTTCCCGTGTGTCTTTATGATTCCATGCAGCGATCGCATTACGATCGCAAAGACCCCGTGTACAGCGACCGCGTACGCTGCCAAACGTCAATTCCTCCTCGATCGTAATGCTCCGACCGATCGCTGTGCACGGAACGATCCATCTGCTCCGAGCAATCGTCCACCCAGGGCTCGCTGGGTGAGTCCACCGCGGTGTCGTCGAGTGATTGAGCGCGCAAGCGAGTTAGTTTATCGCTCTAAAACTGTGAACTTTTTATAAGATCGTGAGCTACCTCCTCGGGTGCAGTTCTACAGAGAATGTGGGGCTGTCGGTGTACCCGTCTGTGTCGTGGTTTCATTTCGCATTTGAACAGGAGACCCGAACAAATGCACATTTACACACGATGTGTCGGTGTTCCCAAGTGATTCTTGAAATGTGCCGGTTCAAATTGTGTTTAGACTCGTTCTAGTGACGTAGGTAAAAAATTAAAATAAATTAAATCACGACGTTTCGGGCGCAACACAAGCGGCCTTCTTCAGGTCGGGACAACTTAGCAAAAGCACAACACTGCTTAAGTGTGTCCGACGCTTGTGTTGCTGCCGGAAACGTCGTGATTTAATGTATTTTAATTTTTACCTACGTGACTTTACCGAAAAAACCAAAGAGTATGAATCCTTGCAGTCACGAAAACTTCAAATCTAGAATTTGTTCTAGTGAATACCCTGATATAGTAGTGAACTTTCTCTCAGATCCGCGAGTGGTTCACCAAAACGAACAGCGCCTTTATCTCTCAGCGGTGTAACGATGCACCGGTCCATCAGTCTGATTTCTTGAGCTCACGGTACCCGCATCTCGAAATCGCGCGGAAGAATCCACGGGCCTCGGCTCGTTCTGCGTTGCGTGCAATTGGTCTCGGAGTCACTGCCACCGTCCGTCAGCCCCCTCCTGCAGCCGTTTGGAAGAGGCGCTACCGTGCACTGCGATGTGAACACAGAGAGATGGATTCTTTGATTATCGAGTGGCATTACGACCCCCGCCCCCCACGAATTGCAGATTCCCCGGTGGCAAAAGGGGGACATTTACTTCTATTCCACTGGCGCATCCGGTGGGGGCAGTGCCGAGCCAGCGCAGCGGCACGGGTTCAGGAAGACACGGCGGTTTGCTTTTCCCACCGCGCAAGCCGAGCCGTGCCAGCGACGTCACACGGGCGACGTGGACACGCGCGCGGCGACGCCGTCGTTGCGATTCGAGCTGACCGACGGCGCGCGCAATGGACACGCGATCAGCCCCGAGCCCGGCAAGCCCTTCTTGGGCCCCGGAGTCTCGTGTGAGCCCGGCGTTGCGCGGCTTCGGTTTTGCGGCTCGGCTCGGTAAATCGGCAGTCGAAACGCCGCCCGGTGGCCCGGTTCTGGTCCCTGACTCGGATGTGCCAGGAGAAAAAACACGAGCACAGTCCATTCTCTTACAACACCGCGAGTGGTTTTCATAACGCGAATTGAATATAACGGCGATCGAGTGAACGGAACTACGTCGTGCGAGCCGGAACAAGCGGTCGCACGGCTGCCTCGGGATGCTGCTGGATGCTTCCAGATGCTTCCCGCACGCCTCAAGTCTTCGCTCGGCCTGCGTGCGCATCTCGCGTATTATCGCGGGCCGTGCTCTACCCCTCCATATTACATATCATTTGTGATCAGGCAATTGTTCCGTAACGCGGCGTTCTTCGGGACACGCAATGACCGCGTGATAGAAGAACAGACTGCGTTGAGCGACCGTGAGCTTCAGCTCATTGCCGATGCCAGCACAGCTCGCTCGTACATTCAATGTGAACGCAGATGCCCCCGATGAACACTGCACGGAGTCGGCCTTCGCTCGTACGGCCTACTTTCTTCTCACAACGCGTGCCCGTTGCAAAATCCGCCCGTGCGGTGTACAGAAATACGTCTTTGTATCACAATTCTTGGTCCCCTTTCGGTCAGGCTCCGTCACTAAATAAGTCTAAGTTTCACGCGGTACACAAATATAGTAGCATCTGTCAAAACACCTACGACGATTGTGCAGATGACTGCACGGTTGCTTTTTTTCATCTGCAGCTTTTAGCACGACTGTACAGGATACATCAATGCCCTGGTCATCTCCCTCCCTTCCTCCGGGATCCCACGTGGAATGTTAATGCTTCGTCTAACGGCCGCCGTGGTACATTCAGCACACTCGCCACAGCGCTCGTCATTACCGGCTAGGGGGATCGCTGAGGACCAGTCCACAGCTGAAGCAATCAGTCTCATGCAACTTGGTCGCGTGCACCCGAAACGCTTGCATGCGGACGATCATATCTGCACGCGGTTGCAGGAAGCATTTGCTCAATGGTCCACTTAAGGCGGGACACATGCGTGGTTCGGGTACGGTCCCCCCTGTTCAATTTCACCCCCCCCTCCTCCCATCCCTCTCAACTATTTTTAGTCCAGTCAGAGGTCGCAACCGGGTACCCGATACCCGTACCCTACCCGATACCCGTACCCTACCCGATACCCGGCTACCCGTACCCGGCCGGGTACGGGTACCCGTTTGCGACCCTGGTGCGGCCGGGTACGGGTAGGCTGTGAGTCACTGGTGAGTAACCGTTTGTCACTCATTTCCCAACGTCTTGTCTCTTCTCACAATTCAAGTTCCTAGAATCAACCCACCCGCGCCTGCAACATGGCTTCATCCCAGAGGTCGCAATCGGGTACCCGTACCCTACCCGTACCCGGCCGGGTACGGGTAGGGTACGGGTACGGCCGGGTACGGGTACCCGTTTGCGACCCTGGTGCGGCCGGGTACGGGTACGGGTAAGGAATCAAAACCCGTTTGCGACCTCTGAGTCCAGCGCTTGAGCCCCCTCCGGCCCACGCGGTGCCTGCACAGCACTGGGCTAGCTACGCCGCGAGTGTGGACCCGGCGCAACGCGTTGCAAGCGAAAGAGAAGGGTGGTTGGGGAGCGGAGGGGCAGGTATCGGGAGCGCAGAAGTACGGTGCGACAGTGAAATATTTGCCGCGCGGCCCCCCCACGTAGCCTCCGCAGTAACCTACAACACCTGTCACGTCTTCCGAGATCGGACGAGATGATTTGGTTAACCCTGTTCATGAATTCGTGACGAAAAACCTCCGAGACACGTTTCCTTGGTTAGAGTGAGCGGCTCTCAATCGGAAGGTTGTTAGTTTAAATCATGATTTGGGGCGGTGGGGCGAGCGGAGTGGTGGTGCCATCATACCTCCCTCTGGGGTCAACAAAATGACAACCACTTTGTTGTGGGGAAGTCAACGGGTGGTTTTTGTTATGATGGACGGACTCGCCCCACTGCCATCGGAACGTGGAACTTCCACCAACCCCTTTTCACAAAGCTGTGAACGGCAAACGGGCACCAATGATAAAATAATAAAAATAAAACAAAATAAAATAATTCTCACGACGTTTCGGCCACAACGCAAGCAGCCGTCCTCAGGTGAAGAACAGGTCTGTCGGAAAGACAGCGTCTTCAGACGGCTGCTTGCGTTGTGGCGGAAACGTCGTGATAATTATTGTATTATGTTATATTTTTATTATTTTATTATTTCCCTTCTACGTGACTTTACCGAAAGAACCAAGAAGATGAATCCCTGCAGTCACGAAAGCTTCAAATCGAAATTTGAGCACCAATTATTCAACGCTCGCTCCGAGTGGCAAGTCACTTCCATCACTACGAATTTTCCCACCCCTATGTATATCTCTCATCACGCGATGCGCGGGAGGGTTCAACCGAAGGCGATGTCGGAATTTTTTGTCCGCGAGGTCGGCGGCCTTGCCGTGGGCGCGCAAATTAAATCGCCGACACTCGCCATGCTCACGGGGGGGGGGGGGGGGGCTCTCAGCCGGGGGCCCCGATCTGCGTGGGTTGGCCAGCGACAAATCTCTTTCGGTAAAGTCACGTAGATAAAAAAATTAAATTAATAAAAGTAAAATAAAAATTAAATAAAAATCACGACGTTTCGGAGGCAACACAAGCCTCCGTCTTCAGGTGGAACCGTCACAGCACGATTGCTGTATCAAGTAAATGAGAAATTCCAAGAAAACAGTCCTTGTATATATACTGGTTGAGGGTGGCAGGAGCCAAGGTGGGCTCTGAATATATATATATTTTTTATCTTTTACCCACGTGACTTTACCGAAAAAACCAAAATAATATCAATCCTTGCAGTCACGAAAGCTTCAAATCTAGAAATCTATTGTGCGTCAGGGGAGCCCGCGGGACGGGGAATTCGCCCGGCGTTGAGTGTGGCCGTGCGCGCGACCGGCGGCTCTCGCGCCGGCTCCGAGTGACACGCATTCTGTTCGTCCGTTTGTCTTTTAACCGAGTTGTCGCCAACGCCGTCGTGCGACGCAGAATCTGTTGAAGATCGCGGTCTGGCAGAGCGACCTCTGAAATCCCTTGCAGAGTGACCTCTGAACCCCACAGACGGCGGAAGCACCTTCCCCGCCCGCTTTGCAACCGCATATTTTTAATTCTAAGAGTTGGGATTTTGCCAAATTGAGTTTGAAGTCATGGGTTGTTATTTACTTTGGGCAGTCATTGGTGACCTGGCTGAGACCATTAAGTCATTGCACAACTTCGGTCTACTTGAGCATGTGGACCATTGTGCGAGTTTATGGGTCTCTACGTGAGTCTATGGGTCACTCTATGCGAGTCTATGGGTCTCTACGTGAGTCTATGGGTCTCTACGTGAGTCTATGGGTCTCTACGTGAGTCTATGGGTCTGTATGTGAGTCTATGGGTCACACTATGCGAGTCTATGGGTCTCTACGTGAGTCTATGGGTCACTCTATGCGAGTCTATGGGTCTGTATGTGAGTCTATGGGTCTGTATGTGAGTCTACGGGTCACACTATGCGAGTCTATGGGTCTCTACGTGAGTCTATGGGTCATTCTATGCGAGTCTATGGGTCTGTATGTGAGTCAGTGGCGACAAATGCTGAGACTGCTTCACTTTGGAACCTGGTTTAATCACCGTAGTTCAGAGGCTGAAACCTGCACAGTTAAACCCAAGGACTCAGAAGTACCGGCTCAACGTTTCTGACCTCTGAACCACTCGGTGGCTTCCTTCAATATAATTTAGACGACGACACGACTGTGACGGCTACTCATGATGAAACCCGACCATGCTACCGTAGCAACACAGAGACACATGCCGGTGAGCCAGCGGAGCCGGTGCGCGTGCCCGGTCAGCCTGAACGCCCGCGACGTCCCCGCTTGTGCTTTCGAGGCCATGCGCTCGCCCGGTAAGCTGCGCCCCGGTGATTGGGATCACGGCGTGGGGGGTGCAAAGGAGGGCCGGCAGGGGCGAGCGAGTCCGCGAGCCCGACAGACGGTGCAAAGTTTGGAGGACGGCTTCGAACGAGCCCGGCCGTCTCGCGGCCAACAGTCGACGGGGGCAGCCGTGCAACGCACCCTGCCACGCGCTGGCGCCGAGCCAGAGGGCACCGCGGCGCTCGCCTGCGGCTCCGTGCCAGCGCGACGGGGGACCGGCGAGCAAGCGGCGCTTCGCAGCCAGCGCCGGTTAATCCGGGACGGAGGCCGGAACGCGTGCGAGCCCGCCGCTGAGCCGCAAGCGGCAGCCGTGGATTACGGGCGTCGCCGGGAAAACCCGCCGGGGTGCCAGGCGGCGCCGCTGACGCCAGCACAAACTCCCCACCGCCTCCATCCCGCGGACCCGGTGGCGGCGGCGGCGGCGATGAACGCGGCCGGGGCTGTGATCAGAACTCGATCTTGCAGGCGGGGAAGGACTCGCTCTGCATGACCACGGTGCTGCTGCTGGCGAGCACCATGATGCCCAGCTCGCGCTGCCGCTCGTGCGTCTCCTGGTACCAGCCGCGCACGGCCGCCGTGTCGTACGTGGGGATCAGCGTCACCTGCGCGCCCGAAACAAAACGCGGGCGGCGTCGGAATCGGCTTGGCAACGAGCGAACGCCGGCACGACGGTGGGAAGAGCGGAATGACGCGGCAGGCGGAGGCAGATGTTATCGTGTCGGATTTATCATGATGGAAAAATAAGAATTAGGCTTCACCCTTTCTGCCAATCGGGTTCAAAGACAATGCACATATTACACTGGTCAACACACTTTTTCTGGCATAAGGTACAGTAACCCCTCGCCACTTCGCGGTTCAAGTTTCGTGGCCTCAGTGCATCGCGGATTTTTCGAACTGATTTAAAGGCCTCATTATACCTGTGCAGTAACACCATCATCATCATTCATCATCACATTCATCGAACTGCACAGGTCTGTCATCGTCGTCATTGCCATCGTCATTGTCATCGTCATCGTCGTCATTACTGGAGTCAAGTCTCAAGATACTACTGTCATTGGTGAGTGTAGAACACCATAATACGTATCGTATGAGAGAGAGAGAGTGAATGTATAATATTAAGGTTTTATAATTAAATAGATTTAAGTAAAATATATATATAAAGTATAAATATACATATTTTAAACATTCTGGTACCCACACACACATATACGGAAATTCCTAGGGGGCCAATCCTACTTCGCGGATTTTCACCCATCAAGTTCAAGTTTCAAGTTCAAGTTCATTTATTAGGTATAGCCCTGTGAGCCATTCAGCTCTTGAATCGGGTGCAACCGCAACAAACAAAAAACATGAACAAAAAACATCTTAAAGTGAATATGTGACTAAGTGCAAACAGAAAATTCAAGAAAAGACAGCAAAAATATTGCAGAAAAAACACCGTACACCAACGCTGTGTGCAAAAATCTCAGTGGGATGCAAGTCAAACAACAACAACCACAAGACAGCTTAGATTAAGGCCATCAGTCTAACTCTGTACTACAACAAACAAACATGGCTAAACCAATACACTTTTCGAAATCACCAAAATAAAGCCATGAAAGCAATGAAAAAGCAACCATAGGAACTGTGACGGAATTTTCACAATAAATGGCATAAACAACATCTACTACCAAAACCCTGCAGCCATAGCTGGCTGCATGAGTCACTCCACAACAGCAGGAGCATCAATCGGAGTATTGTAATTTTTCAATGCACCTTTAAGATCAGCACACTAAATCAAAACACAGGTCATACTTTGTAGCGATCATCCGGAGCGAAACATTTAATTTTAGGTCACTGAATAGCACTGGCAGCTAGGGGTGTACAACTCCTCTAGAGCAGTTTTGAGTGAAGATCTCATAGGTAGTGACTCAAGTTTCAATTTATTTGCAACAGCATTCCAGACCCTGGGGGCATCAATAGCAAAGGCCCTTCCTCCAGTATATGTACGGCAATAGGGAATATTAAGCTGGTAAATGAGTGTAGACCTTAGGTCAAATTTGTTCTTTGAAACAGAGACGAGATTCGCGAGGGGTTCGGTCCCCATTAACCGCGATAAACGAGGGATCACTGTATTCCAACGGTTTTAAGGTCATTTTCGGGTGTTGATTCCAAATGTGGCATCAGTTTTTGTCTATCACATCAGGTTTTTGAGATATCAAATATTGCATTTTCAATAAAAACTGCAGAAGAAAAATATTAAATAAATGTGTATATCTACATAAAATGATATTATAAATACACTATCCTAAAAATACAGCACCATATTTCAACACTAAAGCAGTCACTGACTCGCAACAACTTGCAATCGTAAGTGACAGAGTTAATTTCGGGTAAAATGAATGAAAATTGGGTATGCCGATAGCATAAAAATGAGATGTGATAGAGCAAATCTGAGATCAGATTTGGAAATTAGTCTGCAAAAACAGCTGCAAAAGTCCAGGCTAGAAAAAAATGTTTTTCTTTGTTGAGCAGTGTTATCAGAGTATGTTTCTTTGCATGTTTTGCCACGTGTATTCAATGCAGGCTTGATGCCTTGCAATGGGTGTTCGAACATCTTAACACCTCCTGTTTGATTGCTAGAAAGTGCTAAAGCAGAGGTCGCAACCGGGTACCCGATACCCTACCCGATACCCGGCTATCCGTACCGGCCGGGTACGGGTACGGGTACCCGTTTGCGACCCTGGTGCGGCCGGGTACGGGTAGACCGTGAGTCACTGGTGAGTCACCGTTTGTCACTCATTTCCCAACGTCTTGTCTCTTCTCACAATTCAAGTTCCTAGAATCAACCCACCAGCGCCTGCAACATGGCTTCATCCCAGAGGTCGCAATCAGGTACCCGGTACGTGTAGGGTACGGGTACGGCCGGGTATGGGTACGGGTACCCGTTTGCGACCCTGGTGCGGCCGGGTATGGGTACGGGTAAGGAATCAAAACCCGTTTGCGACCTCTGTGCTAAAGCCTTTTCTTATGGCATCATCATTTTAAATCCTGCCAAAAAGGGTCCCATTAGAATCGTTCGTTTATCGTTTATCATTATCTGTCATTGTTCCACCGCCCCCCACATCACGGTGGGGGGTGGGGGGTGGCCCCCACCGCTCTCACCGTGTGGTTGACCCCCACTCGGCCCGGCCGACCAGCAGCGCGTCGAGCGTGGCGCGACCCGGCGCCCTCGCGGCGCCGCCCGCGTCGTTCCCGCTCAGCACGTAGTGCGTCGCCCGCACGCGCCGGAAGAAGTCGACGTCCACCTGCCCCTGCGCTCCGTGAGCGGGGATGTAGGCCAGGTCCACGTACACCGCGGCGAGGGGGGGGGCCGCGCCGCCACTCGCGCCACCCGCGCCACCTCCTGGGTCGGGGTTAGGGGTCAGACGCCAATGGACGGCGAGGGTCAGCGTGATACAGCAGAACCCCTCCATAGAGCCCAATGTGTAGTGTAGTGTCTAATGTAGTGTATAGTAGTGTATAGTAGTGTATAGTGTAGTGTATAGTGTAGTGTATAGTAGTGTAGTGTATATAGTGTAGTGTATAGTAGAGTAGTGTATAGTGTAGTATACTATTGTTGTGTATAGTAACATAATGTATAGTAGTGTAGTGTATAGTAGTCTAGTGTATAGTGTAGTGTATAGTGTAGTGTGTAGTGTATTGTATACTAGTGTAGTTTATAGTGTAGTGTATAGTAGTGTAGTGTATATAGTGTAGTGTATAGTGTAGTGTATATAGTGTAGTGTATAGTGTAGTGTATAGTAGTGTAGTGTATAGTGTAGTGTATAGTGTAGTGTATAGTAGTATAGTGTACAGTAGTATAGTGTATAGTAGTTTAGAGTAGAACCCCTCCTAACAACAAGCCCTGTTAATGACTAATCGCTTAATGACGCGTCTCCATAGAGCCCAGTGTGTAGTGTATAGTGTATAGTAGTACAGTGTATAGTAGTGCAGTGTATAGTAGTGTAGTATATAGTAGTGTAGTGTATAGTGTAGTGTATAGTAGTGTAGTGTATAGTATAGTGTATAATGTAGTGTATAGTAGTGTCATGTATAGTGTAGTGCATAATAGTGTAGTGTATAGTAGTGTAGTGTATAGTAGTGTAGTGTATAGTAGTGTAGTGTATAGTGTAGTGTATAGTAGTGTAGTGTATAGTAGTGTAGTGTATAGTAGTGTAGTGTATAGTGTAGTGTATAGTAGTGTAGTGTATAGTAGTGTAGTGTATAGTAGTGTAGTGTATAGTGTAGTGTATAGTAGTGTATAGTAGTGTAGTGTATAGTAGTGTAGTGTATAGTGTAGTGTATAGTGTAGTGTATAGTAGTGTATAGTAGTGTAGTGTTTAGTAGTGTAATGACGTACGTGTAAGTCATCAGTTTTTCTTCCGGTTTCGTTCCAATGACGTACACATACGGCAATGAAACGTACGTCATCGGAACTGAACCGGAAGAAAAACTAAAATAATAGACTAGGCTCAAAGCTGTCTCTGGTGTGGGTCAATCAGTTTAAAAAACAATGCATATATTATCAGAGTTTGTTTTTTGTATTCATTCTGACCACAAGTATTGTGGTTAATGCAGACATGATTCCTTGTAAAAGGTTTCAGTTTGGTCTTTTAACATCTTAACACCTGTTTTGTTGCCAGAAAAAATGGGGAAAACCTACTCTCATATTTTGGTACTGGCAAAGGAGGTCCCATGATGTAGCATCAATCAATTGTCTTCCAGTAAAGTCTTAAGGACCATTCGGCAGGGTGGTAGCAGCGCATTTATGAATGAACCCATTCATAAATGTGTGACTCCTTTAATCGACTAAGAGAGTGACTAAGAGAGTGACTACATAAAACGCACAGACAGACCTGGCTAAAGGGCCGCAGGTCGTCATCGACTAGAGCGTTTGTACGCACACCAAACGGATCAAGGCAATGGGGCAGTATTGTGAGCAGAGGGCAGTGCAGCAAAACAATCCATTGTTGTACTGTACTATCTTCCAAACGGCTATGCTCCCTGCCACCTTCGCTGACCCGCACCGACCAGCGGTGTGAAGTATGGTCAAATAATTCCCCCCTCCCCCCCATGAACAATGTTCATCGCGCCATTCTTAGCGTGCCATCTTACCCTTCTTCTTGACGCCCGTGGTCGTTTTCAAATCTCCCGGGGACTTCTTGCCCACGCCGGGCCTTCCCGGAGGCGTCGTGGCCTTCCCGAGGTTCTTAGCGTTCGCTCCGGGTGACGGCGTCTTCACCCGCGGCTGTTTCTGGGTCTTCACGCTCTGGGGATCTCTCTTCGTCGCAGCTCCCCCTCGCATCTTCTCCATGGCCGGTCCATAGTTGGCGAGCTCGGGGTCAACCATGCGCACGGCGGGGTCGGGCGGGGGCGGCGTGGGGTCGAGTTTGCGCTCGGCTGACCACGCCGAGCACGGGTCTCCCCCTGGCGGTGAGGTGGGTGAGCTGACGGGCGCTGGTGTCGCCTCCGGACCCACAGCAGAAGCAGCGCCAGCAGCAGCTGCAGGGCCACAGGCCAAGGGACTCCCTTCCATCGCAGCTGCGGCCCAGCCGCGACTCAGTTCCGGAGGCCCTTCCGAGTCCGACGACGAAGCCACAGAGTTGTTGACCGACGTCGACGGGGTCTCGATGTCCACGTTGCTTTGCGGCTGCGTCGCCCACGATGACGCGGCGGTGGTGGGGTCGTCTAACCGGGCGGAGGAGGGGAACAGCTGTCCTGGGGTCGTCAGTGCCGCCGCAGCCTCGCAGATCCCTTGCTGGAGTTGACCCGAGGTCATCACAGAAGGGGCATTGCCACCCGTGGATGCCGAAGCCTCCAAACACTTCTGTCGGTCCTCTTTGCAAAGAAGGGGGATATCTATTGGCTGAGCAGCCTGAGTTGCACTCTGGTTCTTGTCTTGAGCTGTGTGGTGACCACCTGCTTTGGCTGGGGAGCTGCTGCTGCTACTGTTGTCGCATCTGTCCAATTGGAACGCTACGGACGAAGCCAGAGATCCGTGCTGCTTCTGCGTCATCTGATCACTCGCCATTGTCCCGCTCACCTCGTCCGCCCGCCCAGGGGACACGATCTGGTCGGGCGAGGCCGACATTGGCCTGGAGGCCTCACCACGGCCCACCGATGGGTTCTCCACGGAGGTGGACAGGGACTCATCCACCTCGGTGGACTGCGGCGAGCCCACATCGACGGGCAATGAGGGAGACACGTCGTCCATTGTGCGGGCGTTGGGTTCGTTGAGGAAGGAGCTGGTGGCGATCGACGTGGTAGAGACGGTGACGCACGCCTGCAGGAAGCTGTCCTCTGTTGGCGTCATGGACTTTGGGGAGGGCAAGTCCACTGCGGAGGTCTTCAGCTTGTCCTTGGCAGTTGGCTCTGATGTCCCCGCCGCACTGTTGTAACTCTGATGTTGCAGATGATGCTCCTCCTCGGCAGCCTTGGATGGCCCTTCGCTCGCATTCCCTAGCATGCCTAGGGAAAGCAGCACCTCATTAGCCAAGTGCCTGGCTGTCTCTTTCTTCTCATCGTCCGGAAGAGGCACGCAGCCGAACGTTTTGGTATCCGCCAAGTGGATCACCTCCTTATTCGCAATGTCCTTAATTTCATTCATGATTGTTTCCCTGGACCCTAGGCCCCTGGCGGGGACGGACTCGTGATCGTCGGTCTGATTGACGCTGCAGCTCCCAGGCGATACCTCAACCGAGCGCAGCTTGGGTTCTTCCAAACCCGCGTCCTCCTCCTCCTGCTCCCGGGCTGCTGCCGCCTCCTCAAACAGGAAGGAGGGTTCGTCGACGGGCGAGAGGTTGTAGGGCGTGTGCCCGGCGCTGGATGGAGGGGAGCGCGCTGGGGAATCGGCATCGGCCAAAGCGTCGCTTTCTCCACTTTTGTCCGAGCCTTGGGGTCCCTTGTCGGCAGGGCTTTCGTCCGGAGTCAGCTTGATCTCCAGTGGCGTGAGGTCGAAGAGCACGGACCGCTCGCACGACGGGGTCTTCGTGCGGTGCAAAATGGACGTGGGAGCGCGCAAGGTGCCACCCTCTGCCACGGCACCGTCCTTCACGTCGTGGACCCCGGCGCTGGGAGGGCCCCTTTCCAGGCCGGGGAGCGCCAGGGATTCCCGGGAGGGCGACGAGGAAGTCTTCGGTGGAAAGTCAGACGTTTCAGATGTCTGCGACGACGTGACATTAGCGACGTCCTTCTCCGTGGCAGATGCACTGCCATGGGGTTTTGGAGTCGGCTCCGTAGCAGCCGCATCACTAGCGGAACCTTTTGGGCCTGTGTCTGCATGCGGATGAAGCGGCACCGCGGCGGCACCGTGAACGGAGATATTTTCCGGGTCGGTGTTTGCAGCGTCAAATGTGTGGCCCTGCCTTGTTTCCGCGTCGCTTGTTATTGCCTTCGGCGCATGCTTCTCCACCGCTTCCGTCTCCGCTTTGTCGAGAAATTCGTTGGACTCTTGCTGCATGCCACTCGCGACTGCGCCATCTCCGTCGGCAGAACGCTTCTCACCGCCCGCTTCCGTGCGCTCTTCGGCTCCAGACGCATTCCGCTGGTTCTTATCTGGCGCACAGCGTTCATTCTTCTCTCTGTCGGGCTTTTGGGCCTGGTCCTCTTGGGGAGACGAGTCCAGGTCGCCCTCTACGTCCGTGGTGGTGATCCCCTCGTCGGGGGACAGCAGCGACTCGGCCACGTCGGTGCTGTCGGGCGTCTTGCTGTAGTCCTCGTGCACGGGGCTCGGGATGATCTTCTCCACGTACTGCTCCTCTGACACGAAGATGTCGCTGGGACTCTCCGACACCAGGGCCTTGTGTACCGCCATCATCGCCTGCAGGTTGTCCTGCTTCACCTCATCAAACTCCTTCATCAGGTCTTCCGGCGACGATGTGGGAGATGTCTTGGGGCCCGCTGATGCATCAAACCGCCCTTTCAGCTTCTCCCTCAACTTGGGATGAACTCCCGCGAGTGGCTTCTTGATGTCTGCGGCCTCTTTTTTGGGAGATTTGGCTTTAGCTGAGCCCTTCCTGCCCTCTGAGGATGGTCCCGCGGCCTTCGCCGCTGGCTTTGGTGATCTCCGCTCATCGTCCTTTTTCCCGGCGGGCTTCATGTCGTTTTTACTCACCTTCTGAGCATCCCTCTTCACCTCCGGCTTCTTGCCGTCCTTCTTCACGGAGCCCCTGTTCTTCACCGCCTCGGAAGACAAATCCAGTTTGTTCTTCGCTAACGGGTCCCTCTTGTCCATCTTCTCTCCACCCTTGCTCTGCCTATTGTTGGCGTCTGACTTCTCCACCACCTCCTTGTTGAGGTTCCTCCTGCTGGAGGAGGAGCGGGATGAAGAAGACTTCACGTTCTCCTTGCTGGCTGTCTTCTGCCCCGGGCTGGCGTTCTTTGCTGTGGCCGTGCCCGACGTCACGTCTCTCTGCGTGGCCAAAGGGATCTTGAGGAACTCCAAGTGCTTGAGCTTTTCCAGGCTCTCCAGGACCTTAGCTTGTGGCGCGTTACCGGGGAAGAGGACGCGAACGATCCTCTCGGTCGGGTCTGCGGGATGCCACACCACCAGCACCGCCACAGACTCTGTGCCAGTGGCGCAGGGGGCCGCCGCCGCCGCCGGCACCGCCGCCCCGCTCTCCTTGTGCCCCATCACGCCGTTGCCGCCCTTGGCCCTGTTCGACGGCAGCTTCTGCCCGAGTGGGTTACCCTCGCGGCCTTCCCTCACTGGGCTCAGCACGTACATGTCTAGGTGTCCCACGCCCAACTTGTGGAAGAGGATCACCGGCTCAATGGTGGGCGCCGACAGCCGGAATAACGGCTGTGGAGCCACTCGCAGCTTCTCCAAGCTCTCCAGGATCACCGTGGACACCTCGAGGCTCCCCTTGTCACGGGCAGTGGCCACCGCCGCCGCCAATTCAGCGTTGTTGTTGTTGTTGTTGCTTTTTTCCGGGACGTTGTAGAACACCACGCCCAGCTCGGGAGAGATGAGGAGATTCGGTGACTTTCGGAGCGACCAGGCCGGCGACGACGACGACGGCGGCGACCTGGGACCGGTCTCATCGTCGCTGCCCCCTCCTCCCTCCTCCGCGACCGCCTCGGAGATCTTCCGCCGCAGGAAGGAGGCAAAGCCGGGGAGGTTGTCGGTGCCCGTGTGCGTGAGGATGGTGGCGTCGACACGGTCCAGGTGCCTCACCAGCTTCCAGAAGCACGACCGGGCCTCCGAGCCGCCATCCACCAGGAGGTTGAAACCGCCTACGGCGAAGAGCGCCGAGTCCCCCGCGCCCGCTGGGGAACACGTAGCAGCACGGACGAGACAGCTTGAGGAAGCCGCTTGCCAGCGGAGGCTCCAACAGGTCGAAGGGCGACGTTGAGCCCAGGAGGGCGTCCGGAGAGCCGCCCCCCCACAGGCTCCCCCCATTTACCGGGTCCATGGCACCTGGTGTGGATCGTCAGGCTCGGCGTCAGATCTGCAGTTGAGGGATAGAAACAACTAATTTTCAGAACGTTGGGGGGTTCCTCAAGAGGGGAGGACATTCGATCCGTGTAGCCCGCCAGTAATGGGGCAGTGATCGCTTTGTATTAAGGTAATCGCAATTGAGTATTGCACGTGATGTGGTGATACAGCAAAATAATGCGATTTGATTATACAAAACAAGTCGTACAATGCAACTGGTTATTGACCAAAGGTGCCGATACGTAGCGATCATCGCCCCCTGCTGTGAAAACTCGACAGGACCTTCATGCAAATGAGTTGTTGAGAGGTTTTTTCCTTGTTGAATAAGCATATATATTAATATAGCATCCTGTACAAATATTCTGTGCAATTTAATTAAAAAAATGTATTGTCGTAATCATCGGCCGTGGTCAATCTAACTTCTTAAAGGCATCAGCGATACGATAGAGAAAATATTAATATACGACTCAGTCCGATGGGGCTGAGTCGTATGTATGTATAATGAACTTCTTTCGCACCGTGCAGGAAATGTTTGAACAACTTCAGGAAGAAAACTACAAATATGAAAGGAAAACAAAGAAAATGCATAAGAAAATCGTGACGACACAGTCGGGGATACCAGGTCAGAGGGTAGCTGGAACACAGAGGCCAATTATTCAATGTGATTGTACCACCCAATAATTTCGTACAATTCATAGTCAGCCAGTATCAATCCACTGCTGGATGAGTGACTCCCCAAACCGTTGCCATCCCGTCATGGTCCCGCGAAGCTACGATCCATCAAGCATCTGCGCACGAGCTGTTTTCATCTCGCTTCATCTCCATAGCGGACGACCCTTCAGGCGTGTTCCTTCCCTTGATTGGCATTCTCTCGTGAGTCTCAGCCACTGGCCGTCATCTTGTTTTAGCTGCATGTCCTGGCCAAATAAACGTATTTTTTTGATAATAATGTTTTCTTTAACCTGCATCTATTCCTCCAATCCATAGTGTTCCCCTTCCTGCATCTCGGTGGAATTCCAAGCTCGCACCCACCTCTCCACGCTTGATTTTCGCACTCTTCAGTTTTCGCTCCATCACCGATTCGTCGCTTGTCGTAACGGCTAACCTGCCCCGATTGAAAACTTTCTTCTCTGGTTGTGCCAATGCGGCCAGAATTAGATTCGATGCTTCCTTGCTCCGAAAGGCAGGAGGCGGAGGAGGCTAGGCTCGTAATTATAGTGTGGCTGACGCCTTAATGCGCGCCTGCGTGGGCTGCATCCGCAGCGTTTCGATAAAAATGGAGCGCTAAATACAGGGGTGCAGCGACGGTGGGAGAGGTGTGCGAGTGATGTCGGAGCCGGTCCTGCGACCTGGCAAGCGTGCTTGTGGCCACCCTTTGCGAGTGGGACCGAGTCTCGTGGCAGCTAAACGGCGCTCTGTTCCATCTTAGAATACCCGTTAATTTGTGAACTTAATAAAAAATCCCCCAGATTTCTCAGAAGCACCCACCCCACCTCCCCCAAAATGTAAATTCTAATCTCACCTTAAATTTCGATTTAAAGCTTTCGTGACTGCAGGGATTCATCGTCTTGGTTCTTTCGGTAAAGTCACGTAATGTCGTGAGAATTATTTTATTATGTTTTATTTTTATTATTTTATTACTTCCCTTCTATGTGACTTTACCGAAAGAACCAAGAAGGATAATCTCACCTTTACAAGTCATTCAATTTATTTGTCCTCTCTGTCCCTCCTCGGATCTCTGAAGAAGAGCCCGTCGCCCAAACCATCGGTCTGCCGCAGTGGTGGTCAGCACGGGCCACTATAATTTACAGTCCTTTATCAATCCAGTGCTGAATGGGCCCAGGTGCGAGAATTTAAATGCCCCCCCCACCCCCCATACGATTCACCCACCCACCCCTCTGAATATCCATCGCCTGGACCCATCAAGTGGCCCCGTGAGCCCTGGCACATTTGCAACTGCCTGCACAGTCAGTTTCATATTCTTAGGTTTTTTCGGTAAAGTCGCGTAGGTAAAACATTAAAATTAATAAAAGTAAAATAAAATAAAAATCACGACGTTTCGGAGGCAACACAAGCTTCCGTCTTCAGGTGGAACCGTCACAGCCACGACAGCTGTATCAAGTCAATGAGAGATTGCAAGAGCTACCACTCCGTATATATAATGGTTGTAGAGGGGGGAAGGGCCAAGTACGGCACACTTTTTATTCATATGGTAAGGTGAGGCTTAAGAGGCTGAGCCTTTGTTATGGAGAGGTTTGTGACTAAACCTGGCCTATATAACAATAGTGTGAAAAGGAGAAAACAACTAAACATGGTAAAACAAGCCTGGCTGTCTATCAATAACCTGTATATAGTTGTCTGTCAAATAAGATTGGCCAAATAAGTGTAGTCAGTTTCAGTTTCATTTATTAGGCATAGCCCTGTGAGCCGTGCGGCTATTTGAATCGGGTGCAACCGCAACAAACAAAAACATGAACAAGGAACATCTTCAAGTGACTACACGCAACAGAAAATGGAAAAAACAGCAAAGTCTTCCAGAAAAAGCACAGTCGCTAGCGACGCCCGCGACCCAGTGCTTCGTGCAGTGAGCCGGTGCGAGCAAGCGAGCGTGTTTTTGGAGACAAATTTGAGGTCGGTGATAATTTCCATCATTGTGATTTTCCTGCACCCCGAGGCAACGGGTCACGGCGGGCATGGAAACCGCTGCCATAGCGACGGCGGCGGTCTCCGGGGTGACGATGGGAGTCGTGATGGACCGGCCACCCACAGTGTCGTGTCACAAGTGGGGGGGGGGGGGTCATGCACAGACTGGACTGACACCATCAACTCACTACACTTGAGGACCCAGTTTAATTCCGGGCAGCTTAAACCTGAATTTGTAACCAGGGTCTCAGCGGTGTCAGTCACCCTGGCCACCTCCTTTACGGCGCTTGAAAGGAATTCTAGATTTGAAGCTTTCGTGACTGCAAGGTATCATACTCTTAGGTTTTTTTTTCGGTAAAGTCACGTAGGTAAAAAATAAAATTAATAAAAGTAATAATATAATTTATTTTATAATTTATTATTTCTATGTGATTTTTTATTTTATTTCTATTATTACTTTTATTAATTTTGATTTTATTTTTACGTATGCGACTTTACCGAAAAAACCTAAGACTTGAAATGAATCTCAGAAATATTTCTGTGATATTCATTTCTGTGGGCCGTGCTGAAATATTGGTGGAGAGCTGCGGGCGGAGTGGGGGGGGGTCTGACTGTGCTGTGAGAGTTCCGTATGGATTCTTTGTCTCGCGACGTGACACCAGTGGCGCAATTGCAATAACATTTGGTAAGACGGCGAAAACACGTGGACAGTGTACTAATAGGGGTTTTCCCCTTTTTCTGGCAACAAAACTGACACCTTCTGCAAGGAATCATGCTTACATTAACCACAATACTTGCAGTCAAATGCAAACAAAAACAATACTCTGATAATGTATGCATTGTCTTTGAAACTGATTGGTCCACACAAGAGACAGCTTTCTTTAGAGCCTAGCATTGTCTTTGAGTTGTGCGCCTTTTGGCGTCATCTGGTCGAACACCATATGAGACTAGGCTCCAAAGAAAGCTGTCTCTGGTGTGGACCAATCAGTTTCAAAGACAATGCATAAATTATCAGAGTATTGTTTTTTGTTTGCATTTGACTGCAAGTATTGTGGTTAATGTAAGCATGATTCCTTGCAAAAGGTGTCAGTTTTGTTGCCAGAAAAAAAGGGTAAAAACCCTATTAGTATATTTTGGTACTGGCAAAGGAGGTACCATGACGTGGACAGTGTGTTGATCACCTGCCCCTGGACAACGTAGTCCACGGGCCAAATCAGACACTGGTCACCACCTAAGAGAGCAACACTTTAGTCGTACCAGTTTATTTGTAGGGCTAAGAATGAGCGAATTACTTGATAACCCCACTCATTACAAACGGTCATCGCATCATGCACTGTTCTAGGTCGCGTAAATTTAATAAAGAAATTGAAAACCGCGAAAGTGATGCCACCTCGGATGGTGCGGACTGACCGAGTGAAATATATGCTCGAAGCTCATGGGCTACACGTGTGAAAGTTTCCTTGAATGAACCTGGTGACATCATCGCTCATCGCGGACACGTGAGTCAGACTCGATTAGGCGGCTGCGAGAGAGACCACTCAAGAGGCTCCATCAATCACTGGCTTTTCGATCCCCGCCCTGATGCCTGCATATTTGGAGTTTCCGTGCCTCTCTCCCCGTGGACATGTGGATTTTTCTCCAGCTCTTTCGTGGTGGCAAGATGTTGACTACCTCGCCTGGTATATAGGAGGTCGTGGGTTCAATCCCGGCTCTAATTCCTATATATTTTGAGTTTACATGCCTCTCTCCCCGTGGCCACGTTGATTTTTATCCGGGTCCTCTGCGGTGGTAAGATGTTGACTACCTCGCCTGGTATACAGGAGGTTGTGGGTTCAATCCCGACCCTGATTCCTGTCTATTTGGAGTTTACATGCCTCTCTCCCTGTGGACATGTGGATTTTTCTCCAGCTCCTTCGTGGTGGCAAGATGTTGACTACCTCGCCTGGTATACAGGAGGTTGTGGGTTCAATGCCGACCCTGATTCCTGTATATTTGGAGTTTCCATGCCTCTCTCTCCGTGGACTTCTGGATTTTTCTACGTCTCCTTCGTGGTGGCAAGATGTTGACTACCTCGCCTGGTATACAGGTCGTGGATTCGATCCCGACCCTGACGCCTGCTGTATATTTAGAGTTTACATGTCTCTTTCCCCGTGGTCTTCTGGATTTTCTACGTCTCCTTCGTGGTGGCAAGATGTTGACTGCCTCTCCTGGTATACAGGAGGTCGTTGTTCCGATCCCGACCCTGACGCCTGCTGTATATTTAAAGTTTGCGTGTCCCGCTCCACGTGGGTCACGTGGATTTTTCTCCGCTGTCCTCCGATTTTTCCCTTCGCATTTAGCAACATGCGTCTAAGAGTATTTGGCTGCTATACATTTTCACACGATAAGCCACTTCGTAGAGATATCATGTGTGAGAGGCCGGGTCGCTTCTGAAAAAGAGCTGTATAACTCAGTGGGCCTTACGAGTGAGGGGCATCATTACCGTTCTTATTATTACTGCTACGTAAAACCACAATTGAAAAATGATGTATGGCAGCGACATTAATTTGTTAATGAGATCATATTAAAAACATGTTCATATTTAGTGACAGTTGATTCAATTTTTTTTCCTTTCGCGCGCTCGCGCTCAAACGGCGGGCCTCAATTCCACGCCGACATTGATTTCAGTGTCTGGCGAAGTCGTGAAAATTGGCACATTCGCGTCTCTGACAGTCCCTGGAAACTCCGCAAGTTTCTCCGGCTAATAGCGGCGACACGCTGCGTCGTGTGAAAATTTGTTTTTATCCATGAAACGAGCGTCCCCTCCGTAATCTCTGCTGCCCGGAATGTGGCGAGTGATATCCGCACACCGGTACCCGACACGGTTGGCTACATACGGTGCGAAAGAAGTTCAACACACGTACATACCCCCCCCCCCCCCCCCCCCCATCTTCACCAACCTGCAGCACGAAATATGGTCAAACATCCCACGTGACTAAAAAGGGCAAAGTGTGGCATGCGGTGCAACTGGACCGGGAACCTCCAGGCTGAAAGTGGCCCAGGTTGCCGGGCTATGAAGAGGTAGGGGAAGAGGTTTGGTGACGGGAAATTGAATTCTTTGCACTGGGGCTCAGGTCAACTGTGAAAGGCGTGGGGGGGGGGAGGCATTTCTATCCAGCGGTGGACTGATGAGTGCCCCATACATTAACTGGAATCGTTACGTTGGCCTCACTAACCTAGATTGTTTCGCAGTGAATGGTGAGAATTTCCTGCGGGCTAATTTCGTGTTTCCGGTAATTGTCTGCCCAGTCGTAGCCAATACAATTGCAGACTGAGTCAAACAATGCGCTCCACATCCTGAACAGGAACGTTGTTCTCATACAAAGGGCTTAACTACTGCTGTTGCTCAGCACCTAGGGAGAGAGTATGAACATACACAATGCTGTACCAGTAGTAGCACGTAGATATAAACAATCTGGAAGAAAACATCTTAACAGATTCGCCTAAAAAGTAAAATATCTCCATATATATAAAAGGCAAAGTCGTGAATATGTGTGTCTGTTCAAAATGTTTAGCGTACTTCCCGACATGCAACAAATTTAAAATGTGTCATGAGGGTACTTTCCAGACTGTACACCATGCAAACATTTTAAAAATACACTTTTGATTTTTTTTTGGGGGGAGAGCTCAATAATGCATTTATCTTTTGCACGGCAATTGAGCTGTGACGTCAAATCTGTCATGTGACCCGCGCACGTGGAAGCGTAACGCATTGTCGTGTTGTAGTTAGCGCTACGCTGCGCTACGAACCCGGCGACCCGAGTTCGATTCCCGCTCACGGCCACCGCCGGTGACGATTATTTCAACCAGCTCCTGGGCCCTCCCCTAGGTCGACTCAGCCTCAAACGAGTAACTGCTGTTGGGGTGTGAACATCGCCGGGCGTGGTGGATCCAAGTCCCGGGCGAAGCCGGGGTAGTACAGCTAGTATATGAATAAAAGTGGTGACGTTCTGGGCAATGGTCACTCTTCATAGCACGTAGAAAGGTGCGTGTCTATGGGTCTCTGTGCAATTCTCTGGGTCTCTGTGTATGTCAGTCCAATGCCATAATTATAATATATATTGAGGGGGTACACATCCCCCCCAATATTCAAATATGCTCAAAATGCCCCCCCCCCCCAATATATTGCTATAAAATTGATTTCTGTTTATATGATTGTGGGTTATGGTTGTACTTTATTAATCCCTAATCTCTGCCATTACATACAATGAAACAAGAAAATTAAAAAAAGAAAACACAGAGCAATGTAATACAATACACTATTAGACATCATTGTTAAAATTTGTATTAAAAGTCCATCGTATGTGTTACTATTTTTTTTAAATATTTTAGGCAGGAAATTAAAATTTTGATTTTTTTCTGGGGGGGGGGGGCCCCTGTAAGATTTGGTCCCCCCCCCCCAATGTTGACTCCATGGCTACGGTCTTGCGTCAGTCTATGGGTCTATGTGCATGGGTATCTATGAGCCTACGGTCTATGCTGTGCGTAAATGATGTGCCTCGCTATCACAGCACAGGCATAGATAGCACTGCTGCGTAACATTCAATAGAGTGTCTGGAATCATCATTCTGAATGGCCAAACAGAAGCATGCTGTCCATAATAGAGGTTTTTTTTTTTGGGTTCGATCGCGTAAATATATAAATGTGTCGTTAAAACCCGCCACCACCCGACACAGCCGACTAGCAAGGGTTGTCACCTAAACAGAACGTGGCCAATTCGTCACTAGCACAGCAAAACCTGTTTGTTGTGCTGTACTATGGACGAATTGGCATGCTCTTGTTACTTACTAGTTTGGCTGTAGTAGTAGGTTTTTACCCTTTTAAACTGGTACAAAACTGACATTATTATCATTATCAGAGTTCTTCTTTTTGTTTGCATTTTTGACTACTTGTGTTGTGGTTATTGCAAAAATGATGCCTTGTACAAAGGTGTCAGTTTTGTACCAGTTTAAAAGGGTAAAAACCTACTACTATATTTTGCCACTGGTAAAAGAGGTCTCATAGTGTAGTTTGGCTGTGTCGGGTGGTGGCGGGTTTTAACGACACATTGAAATATTTACGCGATCTAACCACCCCCCCCCCAAATAAACCCTCTATTATGGATGATATTGGTCGCGAAAGCCTCCTACATCGTGTTAAACAGAAGCATGCTGAACAGGAGGGGGTGGGGGTGCATTGCACTTGGCAAATAGCCGTACGCACCAACGCGTCCAGGGCTGGACCGCTACATCCGATCGAGAAGAAGAATAATAATGAAGAAGAGATGAGAGAGACCATTCGACGACTCCAATGTCCGATTGACTAGAAGATTGGCACCGTCGTCATCATCATCATCACAGCTTACACCATGGCACACCAACCAAATGTACAAATCGCAAGCCTGTTGCTCCACAAAATCAGCATCGACTTCAGCCGTGCGAAGAAAAATTGTCGTGTCGACAATTTTGTTGACAGAGACGCAGATTTCACCACCACCACCACCCACCACCACTAACCTCTGGGGTGGCCAGCGCCACGCCCGGCCGCCTTTGTCTCCCCCAGTGACGATTTTTATTTTTTACACGCCGTACCGGGTACTCATTTTGAGGCTGAGTCGACCTAGGGGAGGCCCAGGACCGGCTCGGATAATCGTCGCCGTGAGCGGGAATTGAACTCGGGTCGCCGGGTTTGCAGCGCAGCGCGCGCTAACCTCTGCCCCACCGCTCTCCACGCACTGAAATACGCACATTGATATGTACACCGGCACACACCAACACACACACACTGACCCCACAAACACCGACACACACACACTGACACACACACACCAACACACACACAGTGACCCCGTACACACCAACACACACACACCAACACACACACACCAACACACACATACACTGACCCCTCACACACCAACACACACACACACTGACCCCACACACACCAACACACACACACACTGACACACACACACTGACCCAGCACACACCAACACACACTGACCCCACACACACCAACACACACACACTGACCCCGCACACACCAACACACACACACTGACCCCACACACACCAACACACACACACTGACTCCGCACACACCAACACACACACACTGACTCCGCACACACCAACACACACACACTGACCCCACACACACCAACACACACACACTGACTCCGCACACACAAACACACACACACTGACACACACACACCGACATACACACACTGACCCCACACACACTGACCCCACACACACTGACCCCACACACACCGACACACACACTGACCCCACACACACTGACCCCACACACACCGACACACATACACGCTGGCCCCACACACACCAACACACACTGACCCCGCACACACTGACACACACACACTGACACACAGACACACACAGACACACACATAGACACACACACTGACACACACTGACACACACACTGACACACTTACACACACACACTGACACATAGACACACACTGACACACACTGACACACACACACTGACACACACTGACACACACTGACACACACTTACACACACACACTGACACATAGACTCACACTGACACACACTGACACACACACACTGACACACACTGACACACACACACACTGACACATAGACACACACACTGAGACACACAGACACACACACTGACACATAGACACACACATAGACACACACACTGACACACAGACACTGACACAGACACACACACTGACACACACACACTGACACACACACCGGAGCAACGCATCCCTGACGCTCTCATCTCCATCCCCCAAACCGGCACCATCATCCTCAATCATCAGCCTCTCTCCGCAATGCAATCGTGTATTTGTTCTATATTTTTTACATATATATATTTTTTAAAAATAAATGTTGCAATTAATATGCACGTACCTCTCGTTAAATGTCCGTCACCGTGAGCCGGTTAAAATTTGTCTGCTATCCCCTTCCAGATGTTGGCGTCGCTGTTAGCAGCAGCAGCGTGATTGTATCTCTCTCTGTGTGTGTGTGGATGTGAGTGGTGCTGGTGGTGTCTCGTGCAATGACGGTGGTGCTGCTGCTGCTGTTTGGGGATGTGTGCTGCGTATGGAAGTGGTGGGGGGGGGGTAAAACATCGTGGTGCCAACCCAGAGGTCATAAAACCCTCCAGGTTTTAGCTCCATCATAAGCAGCAGCCATGGTCAATCCACTGCTGGATGATGACATCCTGGCACCATCATCAGCAGCCATGGTCAATCCACTGCTGGATGATGACATCCTGGCACCATCATCAGCAGCCATGGTCAATCCACTGCTGGATGATGACATCCTGGCACCATCATCAGCAGCCATGGTCAATCCACTGCTGGATGACGTCATCCTGACACCACCATCATCAGCAGCCATGGTCAATCCACTGCTGGATGATGACATCCTGGCACCATCATCAGCAGCCATGGTCAATCCACTGCTGGATGACGTCATCCTGACACTATCATCAGCAGCAGCCATGGTCAATCCACTGCTGGATGACGTCATCCTGACACCATCATCAGCAGCAGCCATGGTCAATCCACTGCTGGATGACGTCATCCTGACACCATCATCAGCAGCAGCCATGGTCAATCCACTGCTGGATGACGTCATCCTGACACCACCATCATCATCAGCAGCCATGGTCAATCCACTGCTGGATGACGTCATCCTGGCACCATCATCATCAGCAGCCATGGTCAATCCACTGCTGGATGACGTCATCCTGACACCCCCAGTAGCAGCCATGGTCAATCCACTGCTGGATGACGTCATCCTGACATCATCAGCAGCTATGGTCAATCCACTGCTGGATGACGTCATCCTGACATCATCAGCAGCCATGGTCAATCCACTGCTGGATGACGTCATCCTGACATCATCATCAGCAGCCATGGTCAATCCACTGCTGGATGACGTCATCCTGACACCCCCAGTAGCAGCCATAGTCAATCCACTGCTGGATGACGTCATCCTGACACCCCCAGTAGCAGCCATGGTCAATCCACTGCTGGATGACGTCATCCTGACACCACCATCAGCAGCAGCCATGGTCAATCCACTGCTGGATGACGTCATCCTGACACCATCATCAGCAGCCATAGTCAATCTACTGCTGGATGACGTCATCCTGACACCACCATCAGCAGCAACCATGGTCAATCCACTGCTGGATGACGTCATCCTGACACCATCATCAGCAGCAGCCATGGTCAATCCACTGCTGGATGACGTCATCCTGACATCTTCAGCAGCCATGGTCAATCCACTGCTGGATGACGTCATCCTGACACCATCAGCAGCAGCCATGGTCAGTCCACTGCTGGATGACGTCATCCTGACACCTTCATCAGCAGCAGCCATGGTCAATCCACTGCTGGATGACGTCATCCTCACACCACCATCAGCAGCAGCCATGGTCAATCCACTGCTGGATGACGTCATCCTGACACCATCGTCATCAGCAGCCATGGTCAATCCACTGCTGGATAACGTCATCCTGACATCATCAGCAGCCATGGTCAATCCACTGCTGGATGACGTCATCCTGACACCACCATCAGCAGCAGCCATGGTCAATCCAATGCTGGATGGCGTCATCCTGACACCATCATCAGCAGCAGCGATGGTCAATCCACTGCTGGATGACGTCATCCTGACACCACCATCATCAGCAGCCATGGTCAATCCACTGCTGGATGACGTCATCCTGACATCATCAGCAGCCATGGTCAGTCCACTGCTGGATGACGTCATCCTGACACCTTCATCAGCAGCAGCCATGGTCAATCCACTGCTGGATGACGTCATCCTGACACCTTCATCAGCAGCAGCCATGGTCAATCCACTGCTGGATGACGTCATCAAACTTCATAGAATCACTAAAGCACCGGATTGCAATTAATCCCCTCAGCGTGTGCGGGCCCACACCGTTCGTTCAGACTTCATGCAGCCGCGGCCGGTTACGTAACAACTCCCTCAGCGAAATTCGTTCACGCTGAAAGTGAATGGGATAACACGAAATTTTCATGGCTAATCAAAAAGGGAAATAATCACATTTTTTGCAACCAATCAAGCACCGGTAATTAATAAATGTATTGAAAATAAGATCATCCTAAAATGCACCTTCAAGTAAAAAAAATCCTGGCTTAAAATGAATAATAAAATTAATATATTCTAATAAGAAATGCCACAAAGGTAAAAAACCTCTAGATTCACATGCACTGCACGGGTGTGAGGCGGTTTTCGGGGGGTGGGGGGGGGTACCCCTGCCGCGGGCCCTAGGAAACCCCGCACCGAGCCCCCCCCCCTCTTCGCTCCACCGCTCTCCATTGGTTGGCTGCAACGTAGCGGGGCGGGGCTTGTTTATAATTGCCCCCCCCCCCCTCTTCTCTCCACCGCTCTCCATTGGTTGGCTGCAACGTAGCGGGGCGGGGCTTGTTTATAATTGCCCCCCCCCCTCTTCGCTCCACCGCTCTCCATTGGTTGGCTGCAACGTAGCGGGGCGGGGCTTGTTTATAATTGCCCCCCCCCACCCTCCTCCTCTAGCCCCGCCCATTAAATGGTCCAACCCCTTTGGATGAATTCTCAACAGAATTATCATTCTAGATTTGAATGATAATATCATTATATGCTTGGGTCTTTCGGTAAAGTCACGTAGATTGGTTCAAAGAAAATAATAAAAAAATAACAAAACAACTACGACGTTTCGATCGCAACACAAGCGGTCGTCTTCAGGAAGAGTGGGGTTAGCTCTCAAGGCAAACTGTCAATGACCATAAAAATGACCATAAGGGGCCGTCCATAAATGACGTCACGTGATTTTTGGACGATTTTTGACCCCCCCCCCCCCCATCGTCACACGGCGTCACAAAAAGTCAGACCCCCCCCTCAAATATGACGTCACAAAGCTCTGCCCCCCCCAAAAAATAAAACATGCTTCAAATCGCTTTAAACTATTGTCATTGTAGTGCGTATTTAATGTGCCGCTGCACTCTGATGTTGTAGGAGAAAACATTTATTAAAAAGTCAATTTAATTAAGTAGAACGTGTTGTCTATATTTATTTAAAGTTGCGCATTTTGATGTGACGTCACATTTCTCAAACCCCCCCCCTCGTCACACATCGTCACAAATGTCTGACCCCCCATCCCTCTAGGTGCGTGACGTCATTTATGGACAGCCCCTAACGTGGATAGAACGCACGACACAACCTGACATTGGCCGCACGGCGTTCGCTGCCTCTGCGAGAGAACAACTCGGGGGCGCGAGGAGGAATCACAAGTTAGTGGCCACGTGGTGAGCCGGCGCTCCCAAACAATTGCCCAAGTTCTGCGATCCTCGACGCATCGAGATCGTTTTCATCCAATTACCCAATTGTATATATATCTGTCCCTCTACAATAAAACAAAATTATTCAAGTGTTTGAAACCAGGTTACGGGATCAGTGTCCTAAGTTGAGACCAGGTTACGGGATCAGTGTCTAGAGTTGAGACCGGGTCTCAGGGTCAGTGTCTAGAGTGGAGACCGGGTCTCAAGGTCAGTGTCTAGAGTAGAGACCGGGTCTCAAGGTCAGAGTCTAGAGTAGAGACCGGGTTTCAGGGTCTCAGCGTCGAGAATAGAGACCGGGTCTCAGGGTCAGTGTCTAGAGTAGAGACCGGGTCTCAGGGTCTCAGTGTCTAGAGTAGAGACCGGGTCTCAGGGTCTCAATGTCTAGAGTTGAGACCGGGTCTCAGGGTCTCAGTGTCTAGAGTAGAGACCGGGTCTCAGGGTCAGTGTCTAGAGTGGAGACCGGGTCTCAGGGTCAGTGTCTAGAGTAGAGACCGGGTCTCAGGGTCTCAGTGTCTAGAGTTGAGACCGGGTCTCAGGGTCAGGGTCTAGAGTAGAGACCGGGTTTCAGGGTCTCAATGTCTAGAGTAGAGACCGGGTCTCAGGGTCAGAGTCTAGAGTGGAGACCGGGTCTCAGGGTCTCAGGATCTAGAGTAAAGACCGGGTCTCAGGTTCAGTGTCTAGAGTAGAGATCAGGTCTCAGGGTCTCAGTGTCTAGAGTAGAGACCGGGTCTCAGGTTCAGTGTCTAGAGTAGAGACCGGGTCTCAGGGTCAGAGTCTAGAGTAGAGACCGGGTCTCAGGGTCAGTGTCTAGAGTACAGACCGGGTCTCAGGGTCAGTGTCTAGAGTAGAGACCGGGTCTCAGGTTCTGTGTCTAGAGTAGAGACCGGGTCTCAGGGTCTCAGTGTCTAGAGTTGAGACCGGGTCTCAGGGTCTCAGAGTCTAGAGTAGAGACTGGGTCTCAGGGTCAGAGTCTAGAGTAGAGACCGGGTCTCAGGGTCAGAGTCTAGAGTAGAGACCTGGTCTCAGGGTCAGAGTCTACAGTTGAGACCGGGTCTCAGGGTCAGTGTCTAGAGTTGAGACCGGGTCCCAGGGTCAGTGTCTATAGTAGAGACCGGGTCTCAGGGTCAGTGTCTAGAGTAGAGACCGGGTCTCAGGGTCAGTGTCTAGAGTTGAGACTGGGTCTCAGGGTCAGAGTCTAGAGTAGAGACCGGGTCTCAGGGTCAGAGTCTAGAGTAGAGACCGGGTCTCAGGGTCAGAGTCTAGAGTAGAGACCGGGTCTCAGGGTCAGAGTCTAGAGTAGAGACCGGGTCTCAGGGTCAGAGTCTAGAGTTGAGACCGGGTCTCAGGGTCTCAGAGTCTAGAGTGGAGACCGGGTCTGAGGGCAGTGTCTAGAGTAGAGACCGGGTCTGAGGGTCAGTGTCTAGAGTTGAGACCGGGTCTCAGGGTCAGAGTCTAGAGTAGAGACCGGGTCTCAGGGTCAGTGTCTAGAGTAGAGACCGGGTCTCAGGGTCAGAGTCTAGAGTTGAGACCGGGTCTCAGGGTCAGAGTCTAGAGTAGAGACCGGGTCTCAGGGTCAGTGTCTAGAGTAGAGACCGGGTCTCAGGTTCAGTGTCTAGAGTAGAGACCGGGTCTCAGGGTCAGCGTCTAGAGTTGAGACCGGGTCTCAGGGTCAGAGTCT